TACGTATACTAACCTTACCGTTCCGAACCCTACCCCTCGTACCTACCCTCCTCTTCTCGTCTCAGTATACATATATATATAGTATATATATATATATATATATATATATATATATATATATATATATATATATATATGATAATTGCCGTTTCGTTCAGAGGCTTATGTGCTCGTTTGAATAAAATTGTAAGCACGTAATTATATATTGTTGATAGTATACAAGTAGAATGCAGTTTATTTGTGTAGATGTGTTCTACAATAATTATTTTATTGTACCGCAGGTTTTGGTTTTTCAAAATTCTCATGATTATTGGTATCTGCGTTGGAGCATTCTTTATCCCGTATGGGCCATTTTCCGATGGTAAGTAAAACTATCAGATTATGTGAGTAAAAACATCTGGCCATGCAGGTAGTGCCTTTGATGTACCTACAAATGTGATACTTCACCACCATACAAATGATGTATAAGGTCATGATAAAAAGTAAAATGTTAGCCAAGTAGTTTTAAGATTTGGGCCTAGATTTAAAATAATTTTATTCCATTTTTTTTCTTTGAGACTGAAAGTGGTTTAAAAACATCTCTGATAACCAATTGTCCTAGGAAATGTGCTAATGCAGATTTCTCATAATTTTTTGTTCTATTTCAGTGTGGATGTGGTTTGGTATGATAGGAGGATTTCTGTTCATACTCATTCAACTGGTCATGATCGTTGATTTCGCTCATGGCTGGGCTGAAAAATGGGTCGGTAACATGGAGGACGGTGGTGGCAAGGGGTGGTATGTGGGTAAGTTTCCCATTTACTGAATTTCCTGTCTGTTAATCGTTGTTTACCTGTGTTACGTGTGTGTGCGTGCATGCCTATTGTGATATTTATTGGATTCATCCATGATGCAATGTAAACAAAATCCAAGTATATGTCTGCATGGGCTTGGTATCACTTGTGGCATAAACAGATATATTTAATTATATTTGGCTTACTGAACTTGCTGATATAACTTGCGAATTGATATTTTTTATTGACATTTTTGACTACAGCTTTGCTGATAGTCACATTCTTCTGCTATGCTGGAGTGATTGCATTCGTCGTTCTGCTGTACATCTACTATGGAGGGGTAAGGGCGAATTATAGTTTTTAGCTCATCTGACATAGTCAGATGCAGCTTGTAGAATTGCATGAGCGTGCGTGCGTGCGTGCATCCGTGTGTTGGGCGCAAATCTTAACCGCTCGACGTACGGTGACGATATTCAGGACGTGGGGGGGGGGGATATCCGAAAACGAGTTTGGATGTTGAATCTGGGAGGTCAAAGGTCAAAGGTCAAGAGGTGTAAAAGAAGGGGGAAAATTCCCTCCTTAACTTAAGGTATAGGGAGGAAATGCAGAATTGCGGCACAAATCTAAACGGCTCGACACCTAGGCTCGTGATAGTTTGTGTATAGCATCATGGTAGGAAAAGCCATCACTGTGCCGAAATTGGAGGTCACAGGTCAAAGGTCAATGGGGCACAGGGCAGATTTTAGACATTTTCTAAGGACATGGTCTGACGGAGCGATTGAAAAACTTTTTTTTTTCAGCGGTGACATATCATTTTTATGGCTTTATTGAAAGGACCATGATATGTACTTTCCGCTGACATGCGAAGAGTAAGTGTTGGATAACCTTTTGACCCTCAAGAGGAGGGTTAAACATTGATTTGTTGACTGTTAACAAAGGACTGAACTGCTTTTGCTATTATTAGAGCCCATACCTGTGTGAATGTGAGGCTACAGTTGCACAGTTGAATTGCAAAGGCAAAAGTTTGTTGAACAAGGTTTATGCTCCTTAAATCATATTATTTTCTAAAGCAGTCTGTCTATAGCACCATGAAGGCTGAATCAGTGAATGCTCGCATGGGTAGGCAAAAACACATGGCAGCCCATGGCTGGCACGCTTCTAATCATAATTGTTGCTTGCCAACCTGCAATGCACATGTGTCTGCAATGCATAAAGATTGGGTGGGTGCGAAAGTGTAGCTGATATATTTGTTCGAATTGGCTACGAAAGTCAAACAAGAATAAAGAAGACTTATGTATAAGACGTCTTGCTATGCACAAATGAATTTATCAGCAGAACACCAGACACCAGATGAGCCCTGTCGCACTGCGGCACTTGTCTTCTTTTTATCGCTCAATGCAATTTTCAGAAATAAAGATGGTGATGATTAATTTTTCATGCTTTGTCAAGTATTAAATGACTTGTATTCATTATCACACATATATATATATGTTATTCTGCTAAAATATATATCTCAATTTCAAATACGTGGATCAAAGGTCACTAGCTGGAAAAGCAATGATTTTACAGCACATGATCGATCCATTTGATCAAATAAATTTTTTCTCTCTACAATTTGCCTGTCAATTTATTTTATAAAATATATTATGAGGAGTATGTAATGTGATTAACATTAGTTAGGTTATGTTATTAGCCTGTTGTTATTGTTAAAATGGACAGAGGCCTTTACTTCATGATCATGGTGGAGCAGTTCATACTAGGTCATAGCAGAAGCTCTGGAGGAAGGAGTCGTGCCGTGCTGCTCTTGACAGTGAGTTTCTTGCTTCTTCCCCAGTCTGGCTGTGGCTTGAACAAGTTCTTCATTAGTTTGAACCTGATCCTGTGTGTGGGTATATCAGTGATGGCCATCTTGCCCAAGGTGCAGGAGGCCCAGCCTCGCTCCGGTCTGCTGCAGGCATCCATCATCAGCCTCTACATCATCTATCTCACCTGGTCAGCGATGACTAACCAGCCAGGTACGTCTGTGGCGCGGTGGCTTCAGTCTAATTAAAAAATAAAAATGTGCAAACGCTTTACTTGTACATCGAATCTGTCAAAATTGTGTTGAAAATGTCAGCGATGACTCTGACTCTACTATTTTTGTACTGCGGGCTTTGGGTTAAGTGATTGTTGTAAAACTAACCACCACATACCAGAAGCGAGTAGCTTTGCCAGCTGACACTTGTTACAAGAAACCAAAGCCACACAGTTATCGAGGCCATATGCTCGACGGGCAGCCAGAAGAAAAATTAAATTACTGCACATGCGTTCTTACCCAGTTTCATCACTACCATGTGATTCTTTCAGATGCTAAATGCAACCCTTCACTGACTGAGATCTTTACACCTGGACAAGCGACAAGCGATGAGTACTTCGGCTTTGATGCACAGAGTATTGTTGGCTTGCTCGTGTGGTTTGGTTGTGTACTTTACTCAAGGTAAACCATATTCACTCTGTCACAGAGTTTGTGCTCATACTTATATTGTATTGTTAAAGTAGTGACATAATTCAATAATTTTATAGTTAGTTCAAGAGAAACATTGTGCAAATAGAAACGTTTTATGATTCCTGCCTGTTTGTTTGTTTGTATGTATGTATGGCAGGTTTTGTATGGGTCCTTGAAAACCTAGAAAGTCTTGGAAATAGGCTAGGGTCATGGGAAGTTCTGGAAACAGGATAAGGATATGTTTGGTTCTGGGAGGTTCTCAAGTTAGAACACTTATCTATCAGGTCCACATTTTACCAACACCAAGTTTAATATAATGAAGCTATAATTAATTGCAATCTAGTTATAGCCCTGTTTACTGTCTGAGATGCAATAATACTTACTGGAAGGAAGGCTTTATTCACTAATTGTTTATAGGAATATGCGAGGTACAAAGAATATCTATGGTTTAAATCTCAGCATCCTTGGAAACAGACCTTCCTAGAAAAATCCTGGGAAATGCTTTACCTTAAGTGCACAAACCTTTATATGAAGACTGACTGTTACACAACAACAGTACAGTAGCAATAATTTCATCGTTAAATACATGGAATATTGTTCCACAAATTATGCCAAAATTTGTTGCCAACATTGTTTAATGGTAAATCATACTATGTTGTGTGTTTTAAGAGACAGCAACGTTGAACAGTGTTTCAGGAAATAGCAATACTATGATAAACAATGATGGTAACATTTGTTGAATCTTGTGTCACAGATGTTAGTGATGATAATTCCCTTATTGTAGCATTCGGTCCTCGGCTACTGGACAGATGACTAAGCTGACTGGTTCGACTGAGAAGGTGCTGCTGGAAGATGGTAAGCTTGTGTGCAGTCGTATTGGTTGCCCGTGCTGGTGCAAGCCATGCATGCCATTTCAGTACGTGTATTTGTATTTAAATGTCATGCAATAACGACTTAATAATAATTATAGAATGCTTAAATAATATCCTGTTTGCTGACCCAGTATTTCCAGTAGTGATATTGTTGTCACCATTTTCTGCACACTAAGTATAAGCATACATCCGTGATTTTCACATATGTTGAAATATATTTGGTTACATCAACTGAAAAGTGATTTTGACCAATCGTTGCACACAATATAATACCATTATACATACGCGCATACTCGTTTATATAATAATATAATACAATTTCAATAATCAAGTAGTTTCCCAAGAAATTGGTTAAGTGTATATGCTTATATGCTGTATTTTGATTCTTTATACTTGCCTTCTTAAACTCGGATCATTATTTGAAAAGTTTGCATGATGGCATTCCATTATTAATAACTTAGCAATGTTAAAGATATCTCTAGCTGTGCATTGTCTGCTAAGAGCATGAGCTACTTTTGAAATATAGTTAAATGCAGTACATAGCATCTGCTTGAGGCAGTCGGCCTGGTTGTCCTGCAACGCGTTCTCCTTTAATAAACAGAATCCGATCTGTATGGTTCGGTAGGCGAGAGTCCAAGCCAAGAGGATCCTGAGGGGGCAAAGGTCTGGGACAACGAGAAGGAGAGCGTTGCCTACAGTTACAGCTTCTTGCATGTCATGTTCTGTCTGGCTTCTCTGTATATCATGATGACGCTAACCAACTGGTACAAGTAAGTGTGGTTGTTGGCACTGGCAAGGTTTGTTTGTGCAGTGGGGAGACAGAGGTATTTGTATTTCCACATTGGGTTCTCATATGGAATTCTCAATGGTTTCAAAGAATTAACCTGTAGATAAGTTGGGATGCATAGGAAATCAGTGTTTTCACTGATAATTAATTAAAAGCTACATGTGATGTTGCAAATATTTCATGTAGCCGTCTTTCCTGGCTTAATCATTTTCGTGCATACATCTATCCCTTTTTTAGCTCATCTGACATAGTCAGATGCAGCTCGTAGAATCGCATGATTGTCCGTGCGTCCGTGCTTCCGTCAACAGTTGGGCACAAATCTAAACGGCTCGACGTACGGATTCGAAAGTCGGGACATAGGGTGGGAATCCGAAAACGAGTTGGGATGTCGAAGCTGGGGGTCAAAGGTCAAAGGTCAAAGGTCAAGAGGTGTAAAAGAAGGGGGAACATTCCCTCCTTAACTTAAGGTATAGGGAGGAAATGCAGAATTGCGGCACAAATCTAAATGGCTCGACCTATGCTCTTAATATTCGATGTATAGTGTGATGGGCACGAAACCCATCACCAGTGCGAAATTGGAGGTCACAGGTCAAAGGGCAGTGGGGTAAAGGTCACATATCAGACATTTTCTGAGGACATGGCCTAACGGTCAGAGTGGAAAACTTTTTTGTTTCAGTGCTCACCTACCATTTTTATCACTTTATTGAAAGGACCATGAAATGTGCTTTCCGCTGACGTGCGAAGAGTAAGTGTCTGATAACCTTTTGACCCTCAAGAGGAGAGGTCAACATGGATTTGTTGACTGTTAACAAAGGACTGAACTGCTTTTGCTATTAGAACCCACTCCCCTACCGGCAAAGTTCAAATCTATTATATCTTATGGCGCAGTCTCCACTGACACGGCACGGCGCCAGCCGGGTTTGCCGGCGACGGCGAAAGTCCAATGAGTTTGACTTTTGCCGGCTGACGTGACGGCGAAAAGACAATTGAACCAATCAACGTGATTGTTTTTTATCACGTGTTCTGCTCACGCTACCATCACCCAATGGACAACAAGCACATGCATAATTTCTGATCACTGAACCAGAGTGAAAACAATGCGCGAAATCACAATGTATTTTTTTTCAGCACAACGGCGCTGCGTTTTGCTGTGTTGTGTCGTGCCACGTGTGTGGAGACATAGCTTTAGTAGTATCCTAGATATATGCTCTGGGCGCGAACGCAGTGGCGGGAGGGCGCACTTGATTCAGTTGCCAGTGAGTTTATCAGAAGAATACCCGGCTACAGTACACGTCAGTTGAGCGCTGTCGCTCTGCGGCACTTGTTTAATAAGTCTAATATCTATAGCCATTTGCATACGCACCCCCACACAATCACGTTATTTGTCACGGGCTACAAGCAAAATACAATCGATATATCGGCCCAAATCAGCTAACCATGCCCTCTAAAATACAGTTTCTATGTAGGTAAGACAGGTAAAGGGCTGTACATATGAAAATCCGATTTGTTCTCAATGTCATGCAACTTTGGGACATTTCATTGATATAACTGAGCTTATGGTGATGAATGGGCATTTCACGTGCAGTTTGTGATTAATGCAATGTTCGCATTGTTTTCAGACCTGGTGATGCGTCTTTGGACAGCCTGTACTCCAACGCAGCATCCATGTGGATCAAGATAGTCAGCTCATGGCTGTGTGCTGCTCTCTACGTGTGGACACTGGTAGCGCCCATCATGCTTACCAACAGGGAGTTTTAGAGTACCTGCTGCTGGCTAAAGCAGGAGTTGACATGGCCAGAGACCTTCACTAGGCAAGTTTATTTACAGTTTAAGTACGTCGATTGGGAAGCATACACAGGTCGATGGTTTACGATTTGCCTCAACCAACATGGACCAACATGTGTTAGAATCCTTGGAAAATGTAACCAAATGTTGTCTTGCCTAAATTTCAATCACCGGTAATATTTCCGAGTCAAGTCAACCTATAATGTAAAAGATGATATGTGTGCTAGAGGAACATTGTACTTATTCACTTGTCTGCTTATATTGGGTCGCCGTGCTTTGTATCAAGCATGTTTGGCAGCATCCCATGTAGCAATTTATATATTAAAAACACGTATATCAATATTTATGAAAGGGTTGTGATTGAGATTTGACAAAGTTTTACCTAGCCAGACTTCACACATGGAACAGTGGAAGCTTTGTATGTAGTTTTGTATCATTATAAATTTCATTCACAGTTTATACGTATGAGCTTATGCAAAAGATATTAAAACTGAAGCCTTCAGACTTAATTCCTATCAAGTTACGGTTCATTTATGCTGCATGCCAATTTTGAGTTTTTGTGATGTAACATGCAAGTTTAAATGTTGTTTTCGCACATTTGAACACCAGGAGCCAATAAAAAAACTCGAGTTGTATTTATCCATAACCACGATTAAACTGTGAAAATTCATATTTGTCTTAACTACATGCATAATTTATTTCTGACCAATTGTTAAATGTGGAACATTGCAACCCCAATTTTGAAAAAGTGTTGAAATTAGGAAATTACCCTTGTACTAATAATAAACCACGAAATTGGTATGTAGCCTAATTAAACGCCCATTGTTACTGAAGCTGTTTAAAGCCACGTCAGTGTTCTTAGTTTCTACTAAAATTTTGAGTATTCAGGAGTAATGCAATCCGTTTTTCAAGGTTATTTATTAAATATTACATGTGTTCAAGACAGTTGCAGACTCTAATGTACAAAATATAACATGTAATAATCTTGTAGTTTGTTTCATATTGCACTCCCAAACCCACCTTTTATTCAATTAGTTGAAAAATTGCAGAGTTAAACATTTTCTAAAAAGCTGTGGCACACGCTCAGTAATGTAATTTACTGTACTCAGTAATGGTTTTCAACAAATATGTATATAGAAATGGATAGGTGTGCGAATACAAAATTGTGAGTACAACAGTTAGTAAGATAGTGGTGTAATCAGGAGCTTATAAATGGAATTCCATTTATAAGCTCCTGGTGTAATATATATACAGCTCATTGTAATCGATGTGTATTTAATTTCTGCTGATATATATAGAACGAACCTGTAGCTATTGTAAAATGTTGTTAGCAAGACACGTGTCACACCATTCATCAAAATGCTCTACTGGTGATGATAGTGAAATCCTGGTGATGTATAATTCACATTTGAAGCAGAAACGTGCTATTAGGAAAAATGTGACCCATACAAAAAAGGAATACACGAGTTTATACTTCCAAAATACATTTTAAGAAAAAACACGTTTGAGTTAGTCACATACGTCAAAGAAGTGAAATTTGTGAACAAGTGAAATTTGAGGCATTATTCTTGGTGAATTCTTGATGACTTATCATCTGGTATAAACATAATAAACTATTGTGCAGTAAAACGTTTAAATGAGTGTTTTGGGTCTGGTTTTAAATTTGTGATGGTTTTATGATTACTAAATGTACAAAGCACAAAAGAGCATAACAGAACTAAACTTGTGTGTTATCGTCTTTGTTCAACTGTCTTTTTTACAACTCGCGTATAAATTCATGGTCTGCAGTTGCAACAACGCGTACTGACGATACCACAAAGTTGGTTATGGGAAAGTCGGCAGGTTGGTAAAGCAATACCACATTGTGACATAGCTGCTTCCCTTGTCGCACCTAGGCATCTCGGCACACTGCCACTTCCTCCAACTAGTTTTGCACACTAACGGAGCAAGTTTATTCTATCCAGAACGAGCTTTCGTTTGCTTGAAACGACACGCTCCAACGGGGTGCACGACATCACCATGACGACCGTGTCGTTCGCGTCGGTTCTTGTTATCACTCGCTCTAGTTACACACGTGATAAACATTGCCAACTACTGCGTAGGGTGTGGCCGAGGGACAAACTTGGTGACAGCCTGTCATAGAGCATGCAGGAGATGGACATGTGATGCCCTCTCGGCTATGAACAAAGAGGAGATGAGACCATAGATAATGACACACTGCAAAGGCTTCTTTTAGTGTGTCAGCCCAGAGGGGCAACCGCATTTGCTGAATGTGGCTACAGTATAATCTGGCCATCGCGGCAAATACTACGTCGCTATGGTAACTCACAGTAACAAGTTACTTCTCAATTATCACACAGCCATCTATGTACATCACTATATTAACAACTGCATTTCAACATACATACTGAATATATACATTTGTAAACCCCTACAAGCACATGTATCTGCTTTCCTGATGATATACGGGATCCCGTTTGGATGCTTAGTGATATTCACACAGTATAAACGATTCCACAGTACCAGCAACAACGTCGGTAAGTGCATGATACAGCATTATCATCTCAAATGCGGTGAAAACGGAAATAAAGCAAACACCCTGAAAGCCAAGAAGATCAACCTAGCATAGGAAGCACAAAGCATATGCATATCATGCGTGCTATCGGAATCAACTCTGTAAAATGCCTGATCCTTTGAGCACATTTCCTCAAAATCAAGCGCTTTGCATACCCACAGATAAAAAAGTCTTAATTGCAAGTGTACATTTAGAAAGCAGTGGTTAGTAAACATTGTAAAGTAAAATAAACAATGACGGTAAAAAAGATGTTTTAATACTTGGGTATGTTCTTTAGAAAGTTTGATAGTTACTGTAAGATATACGAAATAAAAAAACAAGAACTTCACAAATCTAGAGCTGATGAACCGAATGTGACCATAGACCGTAGATTTAGCAGATCTGAATTTAATTAAAAGACTGCTGATCATAAGCAACCTATTCTGTCGATGTTGTGAAAGCATGATTAAAATCCGTAGTGGGCAGTCGTATTTTGAGATACAAATTAGAATGCCACAACCACATTAGTTTACTTGATAAGGGAATGCCAACAGTAGGATGCATGTATCTTTCTTTACCTCTCGCTGGCTACTTTACCCTCCCAACAATAATTCAGGAAGCAGCCATGCCCGTACCCGTACAAAACACTACAAAATACGTCCAACTAACAAAACGCCTTGGCATGTATGTATTCTTCTTACAAAAGGTGCAAAATGAGTCACAACAAGTGCTAATGGATCTACCATTATTATAGCCATCATTAAGTCTGTAACAGGCCAATACAATGTGCACGACACTATTTACAGATTCTCTATAAATGTTATCACAATGAATTACACAGTATTCAGTCAAACGTCGGTCATTCAATAAATCCTCCTCTCCTGACTTTTTCATTGTATCTTGCACTATGCCCTTAGGCGGCGCACATCAAAAACAGAATGCCGCCTGGGCCTCCCGCTGAGCAGAAACTTTGCGACTGTGACATAGAATGGTTGAGATGATCACATTAACAAAGCTCTCAATCTAGAACTACATTCGACACTAGGTGGCAGCAGATATCTGCTGTTATAAACGAACAGTGGAGTTTCCATGCATGTCTTCTGCGTGCGGCGCTCAATGTAATTAAAAAATTTCCCTCAACAATTGTGTGCTCATACGAATAAACGCGACATAAAACCAAATACAGTCAGACGTGTAATTGCTACATTAGGCACTCCATGCACCACGCACGGCAGTCCACATTGAAAACACCAACTCCTACAGTCCTACATCATTCCTTGTAGAACGTTTATAAGTGCAATGAGATACAGTTGTGTAGACCATAGCTAGACCATGCATGTTAAACAATATTTTTGCTTATAACATGTCATACACCCTCAAAACCTCTCGCCGAATCTTTTCTTTATTCTTACTATCACACCCAATATAGTTTCGAGCCTTGGCACTATCGAAACATAACATCACCAATAAAATATGTATATAACGCATAATAATATCGTGCCTTCACTACACAGTATATTTCTTATAGGAACTGGACAACGTATATGCCCACAGGCTGTAGCCAACTACGAAACTGGCGCATTACCGCAGTCAAACGCAGATGGTGACTACTAGGTCATGGAATCTCAATAAGTATATGCTTCTTCCTTGACAACATCTATGAGCATCCTCTGCATCACTCTAGCACTCTTTTCATGTTTTATTGAATAATATCCACATATTACTTCCAATACTGCCATGTAGGTAGGAGATAGGTCCGCGCCAATTTATTGTGTCTGTACCTAACATGTTTTACCGTCGTTAAATAAAGTTTTTACTTACGTACTACTTACAATACAAATATCAGCAGAGCCACTCTCAATAGTTGCACCCTGTAGCGATGACAATGGCCGCAAACGTAGTCAGCGGCAATAGTAACAGCAGCATTTGAAACAGTAATGCCTGTGTCAACAACAGCAGTTCTATTGCCAACAGCTTTGGCAACAGTAGCGTTATTAATAGCAGTAGTAGCAGTGGCTGCAGTGGCAACATTAGCTACAGTGTGTAGTACCCTAGCAGTTTCATTATAACAGCAACATCAGTACAGGCTTTTTCTCACAATAACTGTTTCAGTGCTTATATCCTGCTTGTGTAAGGTAATTACTGCATGCCTGCTAAGTAATGTTACCCGACTACCAGCACTTAATTAACGACAAGGTTGACTCTGCACTCGTATTCTGCCTATAATGAAAAGTGTAAAAGATGTCACCAACTGCTAGTGGGTATACTACAACGCCCACAAGTGCTGAGCCTTTTATCAACTCAAGCTAACAATATTTATCCAACCACAGGACACTGGCTGTGCTTCATAGCTATGTGACGCTCATTTCCATATCCTGGACTAGCCACCACGTATTACCAGACAAACCATTAATCGACTAAAGCTTTCAGATGACAGCATAATGTCGTGTAAAGTTGCTATTCATTAGGGATGCTGCAAACATACACGACTCTTACTCGATTCATATCTGTTCTTTAATCAACAGTTTTTGCCATCCTTATGGTTTCGAGTTGACCATCATGCAATGAGATCTTTTAGCAGAACTTTCTGCATGCACTTGTCTGTGCCTCACACTGGGGTTACTGCTCTGTACTACTCTACATTTACACTGGGATTACTGCAGCACTATTCTCAGTGTACACAGGGGTTACTGCCACACTATTGTCAAGTTCACACTGTGAAAACTGCTGCACGGATCTGCTGATCACCCCACACCCCTTATTTGAACTCTACTGTTTCACACTCAGTGAATTGACTTTCGCACATCTCTTGGAGCCAAGCCACTGGTTTACATTTCGCAGTCCCAGACATGCCGAGATGACTTGTTGCACGGTATCATGGATTCTGTCTTGCTGAAGCTGTGCTTAACCATCCAGAAGATGTCACAGTGACTGCTACTGACAGTTACTGGCAATTGGCATGTTCCAGGGCTTCAATGTGTCGCCTTGCAAATCCCGAAGATGGAACAGCTGCAGACTGAAACCAGGAACGGACTATTGATGGGGTTTTTCCCGATTGATACACAAAAGTCAAAACATTGTCGATAACATATGACAGGTGAACGAATGTGAACTTTCATGTGTCCGACATGCGAAAACAATACCACGCATGTCTTATAATGTGTATTACACTGCTGAGTGCTGCCACCCTATGTATACCTTGTAATAGTAAACAGAGGCTGAAGAGAGCCAATAGAGGCTCTCGTTTCCATAACACACTGTCCTGCAAAGCTACTCGCTGTTATATAGTAGCAGTTTGCCCAACGGCGAGATAAACCTATTTGTGCTTGATTGAGACATGAACTGCCAGACATTTGAACTGGAAATCAAGTGTGCTATCTACTAAACCAACACTGCCCCCAGGTGGTGAATACATATCTAGGTGAAATTATACACCAATGACCAAAAAAGGCTTTAAAAATATATGCAAAATGGCTTCATAGAACGATTCCCTGCAATGCTAAGAAGCTACACCAAATGCCGTCGAACGCATGATCGCCTTTCAACTATACACACGACACAATGAAGAAGCTTTTAAAAACAAATATGGATAACCTGGAGTGATTCTTGCGTAAAAATAGGCTCCAGTTACCTTGCCATCAACTACAGGAGTAGCTCAGTAGAAGCCCCAGCACTCAAGTGCTTTAATGACGAAATCCTCGTTACTCGTGAGTGTGTCGTTGTCGTATGTCTTACAGCTGTGCGTCGTTCCATGATACAGGTCACTGTCAAACCAGAGACCAAACTGTCCGCTAAAAACACAAAAATCCAACATTTACACAGGGCCAATAAACAGCAAGATTTTAAGGTATATGAACAGATATTGTTATGCAGGCAAAGCAAAAATTATATAGCTCTATATTTTTATTGAGATTATCCTTTATTAAAATGAAAGTGTCAATGACACTGTATGTAGCTCACCACAAAAAAGGACACAAATGAGTGTGTGAGAAGAAGTCAGTTTTAATTGAGCAACCATCGACATACATTATAGAAACGAAGAGTATATATGGAAGAACTCCCATTATATACCCTTGATAATTATATGTGTAATTTTTTATGTGAAAATAAATGTTTGAGATACATGTGAAAGTCTGAGATGAGGGCGAGTGATGGTGTTACACCTAAATGATCGCCATTTAACGTTTTTATAATATTCAGATTTAGGCACTGCCTAAAAGCGGAGCTCCCGATGTGTAACGTGTAAGATTGAGAGGATACGCTTATTCCACGTAGCTGCTATATACCACGTGACAATGGTGTTTTCCTGCCCATAACACAACTTTTGTCAAAGGTTAATTGGTTGCATGAAAGTGTTTACTTCGTATGAGTTTTTCTAGGCGGTAGCACACGGTTGCCATCTGTATATCGCAATAATAATTTATAAACCAAAATTTGTGACGGTAGATGGCGCTATAACCCGCTTTGATGTTTTTTTAGCGAATGGCGTTTCGAAATAAATAGGTTAATGGCTGCGTTCGACATGTTTTGCTAATAACTTGTACTTCTGATTAAATAAATAGACTGTTTTATCATCAGGGTGGCGAAGGAACATACCAATTTTGCCATTAAAGGTATTGTCAATGAAATCTTGTAAAACGAAAGCACAGACGAGTTGTGGACACCACCAGACTGTTATCTTGCGTGTCTATAACAATAATATGCTATATAATTGCCAAACCCCCTTTGCATAATTTTTTTAAATATCAAAACCCCTGGCCCTTATTCAGTCACAGTAGCCAAAAATGCGCAAAAATCTCGTTGAAGCTTGATACTGACTAAAATGGCATTCCGGCATTTTTGCCAAAAAAAATTGCCGTGGCTCCAAAATAGGAACGTTCAAGATTGGGTAGCATCAGCAGTACAGCACTATAACCCAATTTCAAACATGTGCGTCAAACGGTTCTGAGTTATCGTTGACCCGTAGCAAATGCAAGGCGTCAAGCAGATGACAGCTGAACGGCTAAAGAAAATAGGAAAATAGCGAATTTCAGCATGTGAAAAATAGGAGGAAAAGGATTTTGGTGAGAAAATATATGTTAAATAGGAATATTTGTTGCATTAGATGGCCTCCCAACACCCCTACAGCCATCCCGATCCACCACAAATGGTTTTATTAATATACATATTTGGAGTTACATCACATGCGAACAATATTTTGGGGTTTTAATGAGAAATGCATGTTAAAATTGATAAGCAGTTTATACATGCATAAGCACCCATACATGTAGACTACTCCAAAATAGTATGACGTACATGTATACATGGGCGGATCCGGCTTTTTGAAAAAGGGGGGGGTCCACTTACTCCAGTAAGAAATAAAGGGCACTTTTATAAAAAGGTGCCGAAGGCAGCTTATGCGCAGTGTCTAAGGCACGTTGCCACTTCTTAGGGGGACCTTCTCCAAGAAAAATTTTAAAAATTGGTGCATTCTGAGAGCATCTGAGCAGTAATTTTGATGTCTAGAATGCAAGATGGAATTCCAAATTTTTAAGCAGAAAATTATCTTTTATGTGTTTTCCCTTTTTTGGAGTAAGTGAACCCCCCCTCTGGATACACATACCACATCCAACTGAGAAACAACTTTACTGAAATAAAATCTGTAATAGTAAAGAGTATATTACGTTAATTTAAAGGAAGGGGTGGGGGAGGGGGGTCCTCCCCAAGGAAATTTTTGAAAATTGGGTTACCTGAAATGTAAATTCCTGCATTCTGAGAAGGATACATACAATTCTAGATTCAGAAAAATGAAAAGCCCTCAAAAATAGGGAAAAATAGGAATTTGTCCAGAAAATAGGAGAAAATAGGAATTGCCCAGAAAATAGGAAAAAATAGGAATTTGTCCAGAAAATAGGAGAAAATAGGAATTGCCCAGAAAATAGGAAAAAATAGGAACTTGACGCCCTGCAAATGTTGACGGAGGGACGGACGTACGACGAACGACGACCCATGGCAATAGCTCATCTTGACGAAGTCAAGGTGAGCTAATAATACAAGAAATTAGCATGTTGTAACTTCTAAGGTTACCCAAGCGTTGTTCATGTAAAAACCTATACATAAATAAGGAGAAACAAGACCAAAAAGCACAAGTCGATGCCTGAGCGTGTTTGCTACACATTTCTAAACAAGTGCTGCAGTGTGACAGGGCTCATCTGGTGTCTGGTGTTCTGCTGATATATTCATTTGTGCATAGCAAGACGTCTTATACATAAGTCTTCTTTATTCTTGTTTGACTTCCGTAGCCAATTCGAACAAATATATCAGCTACACTTTCGCACCCACACATGTGCATTGCAGGTTGGCAGGCAAAAATTATGATTAGAAGCGTGCCAGCCATGGTGTGCCCCGTGTTTTTGCCTACCTACACGAGCATTTACTGATTCAGCCTTCAGGGTGCTATAGACAGACTGCTTTAGAAAATAATATGATTTAAGGAGTGTAAACCTTGTTCAACAAACATTTGCCTTTGCAATTAAACTGTGCACAACCTCACATTCACACAGGTATGGGCTCTAATAATAGCAAAACCAGTTCAGTCCTTTGTTAACAGTCAATAAATCAATGTTTAACCC